GAAAATATTGCAAAAATATAGATTGAAGTGTTTGAAATTGTAAAACCTTACTAGGCATTCGATTGATTAAATATGTGGCAGTTAATAAGGCTTTCCCCCACAAATATTTTGGAACATTAGTGGTAAATAGAAGAGAACGAGTAACTTCAAGGAGATGTCTATTTTTTCTTTCGGCAATACTGTTTTGTCGTGGGGTGTCAAGACAAGAACTGATCTGAACTATGCCATTTTCCCTGAAAAACGCACCCAAAGACTTAGCAAAAAATTCACTGCCATTATCAGATTTAAAGAGCTGAATTTTAGACCCAAATTGAGTGAGAACCATGTTATAAAATTGGGTAAAAACACCAGCAGTTTCAGATTTATTTTTTAGCAAATAAGTCCAAATTATCCTATTGTGATAATCAATTAAAGTGATAAATCACTTACAATTATCAACATTCTTCACCCGAGAAAGGCCCCAAATATCACTGTGGATCAAAGCAAAAGGGTGAGAAGGCTTATATGTAAAAGGAGAATAAGTTGATTTAGTATGTTTGGCAAGAGAGCAAACTTTGCAAGAAAAAGAATTTGGCCTTTTATGAATGAATAGAGCAGGAAAAACTTTTGCAAGATAGTGAAAATTAGGATGGCCTAAACGATAGTGCCATAACATAACATTATCAACTTTTTCTAAAGCGGTGAAAGATTTTGGTTTTAGTAGAGGCAGGAAGAATGTAGAGACCATTCTGCAAGCTGGCCTTACAAATCATCTTTTTCGAGTTCAGTGCCTGCAAAGTACAATCAATATCATTAAAAATTGCATAGCAGTGCAAGTCGGTGGAAAGTTTACTAACGGAAACGAGATTGCAAGCCAGATTTGGTACGAAGAGGACATTTTTAAGTACAATCTGGTCATTGAGAATAACAGTGCCATGTCCTTCTATTTTGCACAAAGAACCATCAGTCGTTTTGACAATTTTACCAAAGTTTGGAAAAAAATTGCAAAACAAATCCTTATTACCAGTCATATGATCCGTAGCACCAGAATCGAGGATCCAATTAGGGGTCGACTGGGAGGAGAAAAAAACTTTAGAATGAAGTTTACCTTCTGGTTCTTTCATGACCAGATTACCTTATGATTGAGCAGCAGAACCAGAAAAATTTTCTGGATTCGAAGTGATCTCCAGAGTAGGAGAAGAAGTTGTGGACATCGTCTAGGTTGGAAAGAAATCGTAACCTAAGCTGATACCATGTAGAAATCAGAGTAATTCTCTGTAATTTCTTATTCTTTTCAATAGGACAAATTACATATTTATATACAAATCATCTCTCTAAAATAGGAAACTCTAAGAAAGGAAAGATACTAATCCTAGGAGATATGATCCCTTAAAATAAGGGATTGTAGAATATTTACAGAATCCCTTAATTAAAGGATATTTACAGAATCATATATTTCTATAATTCCTACATATAGTTATTTAAGTCGTAATTTTTTTTGCTATGAGGCAAATTACATTCGGTTAAAAACAAAATCGTCAAGGAAAAAAAATCATGCTGGTGTTGTGGCTATCATTTTTTTATTGGTCCCTTCTGTATGGATCATATTTCACATTCTTTGCAGAACCGACTGCTGGCAATGAACTACACAAATGAAGGAGATGATGATAACCTTTTTGAGGCCCACAGGTTTAACAAACACTTATCACCATAGCTTGAATTTATTGTCAATATTTGTGGGCTTCCTGGGAGTATTTAAGAATGATCATATGAACTAATTACATGCCTTTCTATTTGCTGCATCGGTACAAATATTCTTCTTTCTGTAGTTGGATATCTGGATCCTGATAGTTACTTTAAATCTGATTTACTTATGCACTTTGTGTATGAACTAATTTCATTGTGCTGTTAAATCGTGAACAATATTCCATTGGTTGTGTCGTCATATTGATTAGATTTATTGCTTGTCATAATTGTTTATTTCACAAATGCACTTTTTCTTACTATTGATTCCTTTTTGTCTGAATTACTTTTCTCCATGCAACATAGAAATACATACTTTATGTGCGACGACGCCAACGTTCTTTCTAATTCTTGGTTTTAGTTTTAGAAAGAAATGGATGATGATTGATGAAGGCAGTAGCTTCATTGAGATTAGGATATTAAGTGTAGCGATGATATCTCCGATGCCCTGCTATATATATCTAAGCAGATGTTAAAAAAATGATTTAGATAAATCTCTTTTTAGTTTCCCTCTCTGAAGTGTTTTATTTTGACCTGTTTGATAATCTTTACATTTGTTGAGGCTTTCTAAATTTGATTTTAAAAACAGGGACTGGGGAAGACGATATATGAGATTATATCCACAATATGATTCATGGGACAACCCAAAAGATCCAGATCGACCCCTCGTGATTGGATATGTTTCTCCAGATTATTTTACTCATTCTGTGTCTTATTTCATTGAAGCCCCTCTTATTTATCATGACTATGGGAAATACCAAGTGGTTGTTTATTCAGCAGTGGTGAAGGTGGTTCTTTGGATTTATGAGAATTTTCGATGGACTATGTTTTCCCTTCTGGACTCATATTTTTGTTTTTGCAGGCTGATGCAAAAACTAATAGATTTAGGGAAAAAGTCATTAGAAAGGGTGGGGTGTGGAGGGATATATATGGTATTGATGAAAAACAGGTTGCAAGCATGGTTAGAGACGATAAAATTGACATTTTGGTTGAGCTTACTGGTCATACAGCGAACAACAAATTGGGAACAATGGCATGTCGACCGGCACCTGTTCAGGTATGCTTAAGGTACCATATTTTTGTTTTCTTTTAACTGTTTCTGGTTTAAGTTCTGTCATCAATGGAATTAAAAGAACATAATAGGTGAAATATTTTCAGTGGAGGGTCTGGGTTTATGCACGATGATTTTGCTTTTTAGTCGGTGCTTGATATGGTATACTAAGCATTCTCTCATGATTCTGGTTTTCGGCAATGTTTTTTTATTGTAGGTAACTTGGATTGGCTATCCCAATACTACTGGTTTGCTTACCATTGATTACCGAATTACTGATTCACTTGCAGATCCTCCTGGTACAAAGCAGAAGTAAGTCATGTTTTTTTACTTTAGTTGACACCATTTTTTCGGTTTGTGTTAGATGAGATATGCAATATGTTTTCTCTTTGGAATATAATCCTTACCGAATGGCAGGCATGTCGAGAAATTAGTCCGACTTCCAGAATGTTTTCTTTGTTATACTCCTTCCTCGGAGGCTGGACCTGTTTCACCAACTCCTTCTCTTTCCAATGGCTTCATCACATTCGGTAGCTTTAATAATCTGGCAAAGGTACCATTTCGTAACTGTAGCTTAAACCTCATGTTTCTAATAGTGTATGACATTCGTCATTAACCTCTTATTGATACCTTTTCTAGATAACACCCAAGGTATTGCGAGTTTGGGCAAGGATGTTATGTGCCATTCCAAATTCCCGTCTTGTGGTGAAATGCAAGCCGTTTTGTTGTGACAGCGTTAGGCAGAAATTTCTTACAACGCTAGAGGAGCTTAGAATCCCTTCGTGTTGATCTTCTCCCTCTAATTCTTCTTAATCATGACCACATGCAAGGTTATTCTCTTATGGGCATTAGGTAAATTTAACTGCATTATTTGTGTTACAAAAAATTGTTTATTGAGTGGTGTCTGACCTGCCCTTTTGGTTCATTCATCTGTTGGTCCAAATGGTTTTGGTTAACATCCGTTTTAGAAGTTTTTTCTTTTACTTGTCTGCATAGCTTGGACACTTTTCCATATGCCGGAACGACGACGACGTGTGAATCGTTATATATGGGGGTGCCATGTGTAACCATGGTTGGTTCGGTGCATGCTCATAACGTTGGTGTCAGTCTTCTCAGCAAAGTTGGTAAGGGGCTTCACTAATTAATATCTATTGCTTAGCTGTTTTTGTCTGGCTGTTGATAACTTCTCTTGGCCGTTTCGTTATTTTTCTTCGGGTTTCATTCTAATGTAGTAATATGCGTACCTGCAATTCAGGGTTAGGGCATCTGATTGCCAAAAATGAAGATGAATGTGTCCAGTTCGCACTATAATTGGCTTCGGACGTCACTGCTCTCCAGAACCTGAGAGCTAGTCTTCGAGACCTTATGTCTAAGTCACCTGTCTGTGATGGTCAGAACTTCATCAGTGGTTTGGAGGTAGCATATCGGGGGCTGTGGCACCGATACTGTAAGGATGATATCCCATTTTTGCGGCATATGGAAATGCTAAAGCAAGAGGGCATTCCGGAAGAGCCAACTATTGAAACAATCGAATCTGAAAGGGTAACTATCTCAAAGGACAACTCTCAAGGATCAAAAGAGTCCAATGGATTTAATCAGGCTCCATTGGCTATGCTGAATCCCACAACTTTAGAAGACAACAGGAAGCTGAGCTGACATATTCTTCAGTGCATATATAGCTCTTCCACAGTTTCCTTCAAGTCGTTATCGATCTGGGGGGACAACCCTCTTAGAAGTTGCAAATACCTAGCATATCCACAACCCGAGGCTGGTGGATATCTATAGGCTGAGACTTGATATCACCATAGATAGTAGTCCAATTTTTTCGGCAGAAAGAATGGCTGCAGACTGGTAAAAGTATGGTTTGAAGAATAGAAGATAGGGATGAGATGATGCTATGGGCTACTGGAATCAATACCCGAATTGCTGTCAAATTTCTCCCCCATGAACTAAAGAAACTATAGAAATTTAGACAAGGTTTTGTATGTTGTGAGGATAGCTTTTGTTTTAGCATTACGCACAGCTTGTGTTTTGAGTAGTTTTGACAGTGGCAGGAAGTGCCTTTACTATCATAGTTTCATGTAATAGTGTCATCTTAAAAAACTTCAAAAAAAAAATAAAAATTGGTTAAATGGAACCAATTTGAATCTTAGGCTTTTTTATGATTCAGCAGCCCTGGAATGTTAAATTATAATTAGTCGGTTTGATTAGTTTGATTAGAATAAGGTTGAAAATCGAATCAACAGATCCATCAATAATCGATCAAACCAATCATATTTAATCATTTAACCACTTTCAAAGGCAGAGGTGCCCTTCCAATGCGCCAAGTATAGATGAATGTAATGAGTACTACAAAGAAATGCCATTAGTTCCTTCTTCACTCGCTTCGATTAAACATAAAACTATTAAAGACGATCCAGTTCCAAAATATTCTGAGAAAAGAAGGGGGCATTCCTTAGCATTATAATTTGCAGTTTCCGACCTCGGGTGCTAGTCTTTGACCGAAGTCCGTAATATCTTCACATCATGAATGGGCCTGAAATCAACAAGGGAAAACAGCAAAAGTTGAATTAGTCAAAAAGTCAAGTTCTTAAGAGCAAAACCCATGATCATAACGTTTAGTAATAGGTTGAATGTTGAACTGTGAACCAACTGATATAATAAGAATTCAACAAATGAAATTCCATTGTTCTAGACCAGGCCACAAATAGAAGTGAAAAAGTTATTACAAGCCAGGAATTTACCTGTCATTGTTGTCAGTTTGGACGCTACCGAGCCTCTTGATAATTTCCATTCCCGTACATACTCTTCCAAATATTGTGTGTTTACCTGTGCTAAAAAGAGTGAGACTCCATGATATCTCATTAGCTAAAGGAGGAAGAATTACATGATATTGCATTGTGCAAAAACTGCAAACACAGCATATGGGAGAGAATTGAGCGCATAATTCTCGTAAAAAAATACTCACAGATTTATGTGCAACAACCTATTTACAAAAAGGAAGGATGCAGAAAGGCACGCAAATTGTTTTCATTATGTCGTTTTATGTAACTGGTTGGCCCTCAAGGTCAACGAGATAGTTAAATGATTTATTGATCTGAAGCAAAACAAAGAAAATGGGAAAACCCTAAAACCATGAACTAACAACTTCTACTGCCTTTTCCTTTTCTCAACAAGCTCTAAACACTTACTGTCATCAACGATAAGCACGATAATAGCTTCAAAATCAGTTTACAATGATAGTATATTAGTATGCCCCAAATATGGACTAATTGGCCTCGATACACCACTCCAAATAAGTTCGTGGAGAATTTTTCATAGAAGTCTAACCATTATGTAAATAACATCTAAATCAATTTGAAACTCTGCTCTGAAAATGGACGGACATCACTGATAAACTATACAGTAATTGCGATCATCGACTAGAACTTGAATAGCTTTTAGATTTCACATTAAGAGAACATATAAAGTTCAAACAGTCATTTGATCTCTAAACAAAGTTATCAAGCCACAAGGAAAAACAATAGCATAGAAGTTGGTGATGGCATTTCAGATAGGAAATCATAATGTCAAAGAGTGGATAACAAAAGGGATCTCGACATTAAAAAAGGAATAGTGCTAGGTCTTGTTAAATCTACCAATTACAAGAATTCCCTCCAGAGATCGACCAAATATGCAAATGTAACTATGAAGAATAACATTGTTCTTACGGCAACTGATAAGAATAACATCCTTACCATCTAAAGACGGTGCCGGTGACAAAGTAATGAAGAACTGACTTCCGTTTGTATTCAGACCGGCGTTAGCCATGGATAAAATACCAGCTCCGGTATGCTTTAACTCAGATTTTATCTCATCATCAAATACAGGACTGAAATCAACAACAAAAACACAAACCACTAATTAAAATCACACTTACAAATCACATTCTCTTAAACTGCCAACAATTGGAAAAACAGATGCCAACACAATATTAAGCCACATTAATAAAACAATTACAATGTAAATTCCAGGATTGATTATCCAAAAGTACAAATCACAAGACTAAATCACATAAGACAAATAAGAAAAAAAATCCAAGGGCAGTCTCCAATTTAAACTAGGAAAAGAGAGGATAAAAATCATACCCATAAATAGATTCTCCACCTTTTCCAGTCCCAGTAGGATCCCCACCCTGAACAATAAAATCCTACATCATAACAACAAAACGCAGGTTAAAAAAAAGTTTTCAACACCAATTAAAAAGAAGAAGAAGAAGAAAAAAGGAACCTTGATAATTCTATGGAATTTGACATTGTCATAATAACCTTTCCTGGAAAGTTCAATGAAGTTCCTACAAGTTCTGGGTGCATGCTTGTAATAAAGCTAAAAACCCCAGAAAAATAAAAGGGTTAAGCTAAAGATTATAAACCCAATATATACTGAAGAAAACTTTTCCTATAAAAAAAATACTGAAGAAAACTCAGTAAAAAGAGTAGAGTTTTACCTCAACAGTGAAAGCACCCATTGAGGTTTCTAGAGTAACCTCTGGTGCACCTCCCTCTGAACTTGCCCACATCTTTCAAAGGGACAAACAAGGGTTTTTTCCCCTTCTTTTACTGCAACGATTTCAGTTTAAGAGGAAAAGGAAAGCAAATTTAAAGGATTCCTTGGGCTTGACCTGGATAGTTTAAAATGGGCTTTCATTTTACTACTCCAGTCCTAAAGCTTCCAACTTTTGAATAGTTTTTCATGTTCCACACAAAATTCCAAATGTTTGTAATTACTCAAAAAAAAAAGACTCTCTGTTGTAATTATTTTATAGTATTTGTTTAAAGTGATGCTAAACGATTTCCAAGTTGTCTTTGTGAATTTTCTTATTTTATTTTTTACATTTATGATATTTTGAGTTAAATTAATAACCTTGTTTGTCAAAAATTAATAACCTTGAGATATGTATATATTTGTATCATGTCTGTTGTATCATTTCATATAATTTTATAACATCTTAAATTTTTTTAGCTTCGATGTTAATTTTTTTTTTTGGTAATCGACAACAAATAATACAAAATTTAGATTTCTAATATTTGCACTTGAATTATATTTCTCAGATACAAAATCCATTAATTTCCTCAAGCAAAGAAACCTCTATGTCTCTTTTCATTTGAATCATTTCCCGTAATTTAGGGGATCACTCGGGTTGTAAATAATTTGTAAACTTTGTCTATTTTTTTTCTTTTTGGTGTGATTTCCCCAGTTCTGGGATCATTTGGCTCTAAATTCCATTGAAATTAACTGAGCATAAAGAAGCTGGTTCCATGTGTCTGGTACACCAGGCAGGCACCAATGGCTGCAATCTTGGGGTGCAACCGGAGAGGTCCCCGGCTCACGGTACTTGGAAGGGTGACCATCTTTCCTGAACCCCGTCAGATACGTAATGTTTAACAATCGGACCTTCCAGTTTCCTCTGTTCATTTCTTTGGTCATATTACCAATATATTGATTATTCCAGGATTCAGGTTTAAGCTTCTTCTGGTCCTTTTCTGGTTCTGTTTCTGCATCACATACTCCCCCATCATCCCACGTGCCATTCCTACAACAAGAAAATGTTGGTTTTTTATCCCCATCATCGAATAACACTTGATAGATATTGTCCTATAATTATTCGACTTACATGAAATGAACCGGTGAATGGGTTCGGATAAAAACATGGCTTCGTTGTGGGTTCAAGTTGTTTCTTATCCATGACATCAGTGTTTTAAGAAACCTTGTAAAGGCTTCCATGGCATCCATTGTCATATTCACTGTCCCACCTTCCTGAAAATAACAACCCCTGCAGAAAAAACAAAATTGTATCATTATGCTGAATTTAAGGGACTAGTTATGATATTCTTCCATATATATATATGGACAGACGTTAGAGACTACGAGAAGCCATACATCTTAGCAATTTTCTCTTTGTTCCACCAGTGGCCTGTGTTGAAGACAATGACATCGGCTCCTTTCCATTGCTTGGAACGCCAATGCAACTGGTCTACCTTAACGATTACCTTGACTTGTGCCGGGGCATTTATAGGTCGGCGACCGAGCACCGCTATGAAAGGTGTTCTGTAGTATTCGACGGTGAGGTTGTAATCCTGGAACTTCATTGAAAGAAAGCCTTTGTGTTTGGTTATGGGGCTTCCGTTTTGTTCAAAGATTGCAGATTTGTTTGAAACAGCCCGAGCCAACATGCAAAGGAGCGACTCCCATTGATTTCTTCCCATGGAATCACCTGCAAACACGATCCGTCCGTTTCGACTCCGTTCCAAGAAATCGGTGGCATTGAATCTGTGGTTGAAACAAATTAAACAACCCTACCATTCACAGAGGAAACAATTGAACTCTCGTACCTGGGAACATAACAGTCATGGGGTTGCCATCTCCATTTGAGATACTCGAAGTTTTTTCTCCCGTTCCTATGGCACCGGAAGCCGGGATCGAGGAAGGGGCAGTTTTCGTCGTACAACTGGATGGGATATTTGTGGTCGACCGGAACCCATTGGCCGTAGGAATAATCACAAGGTCTTAAGGGTGGTCTATGATGGAATATGGCCGGTTTCCGAAGGAAGAAATGATCGAAACGAAACAACGGGAGTAACTTTGAAGAGCTCCCGAGGTTCAAAGCAATTATGGAAGAGATCAAGATGAAGACGAAACAGATAGTGCAGCAAATTTCTCTCTTGATGATGGCGGAATTAGACGGGAGTTGGTGGATTGTTTGGGTGGTGAATTGATCCATAAGAAGAGGAAGAAAAATAATCAAGGTAAAAGAGGATGGTTTTTAATTTGAAACAGCCTTTTGTAGAGGAAAAGTAGAAAGAGTTGTCGGAGTTTGTGGGATGTGCTTTGCTAATTACAGCACCTTTTTGCAGCTAATTAATGAAGCCAATATCAAATGTATACATAAACAGGGTAAAATACACAGGTAGTCACTGAATTTAGAGTGCTTTCATTTTCGTCATCTAACTTTTAAAACCTAATTCACAATCATTAGAATTTTAATTTGCTTTCATTATTGTTATTATCGTTAGTTGTCATAGAAAATATTGACATAGAGTCTTCTTTCCCAAAAATTTTGACTTTTTATATTAATAGTTGTCATAGAAGTTGAGCTCTTGGTAAACAAAACGATCGACTGTTAATCCCAACTAATGGTGGGAGTACTTTGTTTGATCAAAAGATTAACATAATTCAATTTCAAGTTTCTCTGGTGATTAACAATGGTGGATCAAAAAATTTTGACTTTTAATTTCTATTGGATCCTCGCTTCCTATTGTCGTCATTTCTGTCACCGTTCGATGATTTCTCTAGTAAAAAAAAGATCATCAAATTACTCTTCTTTTTCTCTTTCTTTCATTTGGTTCAATCTCATAGAAAAAAATTTCAATCTCCTAAAATCTTAAGTAAAGTCTAATCAAAACTAAAAGTTAAAGCCTTTTGATCTATGAATATTAATCATCAATTCAACTTGAAACTAAACTATGTTAAGTTTCTGGTCAAACAAATCTTTCCTACTATTGGGATTTATCGGCGAACGCTTCATTCATAAAAATTTGGCCTTGACGATGATAGTGAATTTGAAACCGTAGGATTTCCAGAGGAAAAATATTTTAACATGTCATGTCAATATTTCTTAATAATGATTATAATAAAAAGTAAGACTTTAGTGAATGTAATGCAAGTTTTATTAGTGACCAAGGTGAAAACACTTTAACAATTTAGTAGCGACGAGGGTAGTTTACCCTAAAAATATATATAAAACTGTTTTAGCCATGTTTAATTTTTTAGAAAAAATCGGTCTGAAAAATAATTAGACTTTGTTTATTACATTAAAGAAAAGGGATAAATACAATTTTTGGTAACCAACTTTGATATTTAACGCAAATGATATTCAACTTTTTTATGCAATTAGGTACCTAGTTATTTATTGTGTAATTAGGTAACATTTTTTGTGTGTAAATATATATTTAGTAAATTTTTAAAATTACATGTGTTCATATCTTTATCAAGTAAATATAAAAAAGGGTAAAATACACAATTTTTGTACTTAAATTATCACTTTTGTTTCATTTTTAAACCATTAACGACAATGCTTATGTGGCATAACATATCAATATTTTTTTATTTTTTAATTATCACATCACCTTTTTCTTTATTTGTAAGTATTTTTTAATTAATTTTATTCACCCAGAGATCGATGAATTAAAGCATTACACGGGACCATCAAATTGGCTAACCTAAAAATTTTCATTAAAATGCTTGTAAAACATCATATTAAACCTATCCATTAAAGCCATAAAATAAAAACATAGTGTTCAAGTTTACAAATATATAAGGAGCTCCCAAAATACATCCCAAATGTTTCAAAATAAGTATTTCAAACAGAGTTACTACTTGAATACATAGGGGTCTATAAATAGTACATGCCCTCTAAGAAAAAACTCAAGACTTACACCGAAGCTCGTATCTGTTTGGAATGTAGGTTGTGCGATAAGCTCCTCGAACGCTCATACGAACCTGCACACGGAAACAAATTTCAAACGTTAAACTCACAAGCTCAGTGACACATTAATAACTAAACTATAGTAAATGCGTTCACCAAAGCTCAAAAGTTCACAAGCATGCAAGTATGATAAACACACATGTTGAGGTAGGCATCATGGTGTGGTCAGAGGGTTTCGCTACATCTCGGGACATACACACTTCTAGCATACCTTGGGTAAGATCCATAATTTTTGCATCGGAAACATACATCCGAATGATCTAGTCCTTGCGAGTAATTAGGGCATCTGCACCTAGCCAGCTACTGAAGTGCCTTGTACACTGACTAAGACATGTCCGAACATTTTAAACATAGAAGATGATCGTCATACTACTAAAATAACTCGGGTGTTCTGGTCGTTTCCTGACTCACACGATGGCTAATATTATATCATTTTAACTTGAATTATTCCTAGTTGTAATTGCATTAATTACTGTTGTTCCCACTTGTAGTCTTATTAATAAAGTTCTGATGACCCTATATCACATCCCCGAACACTTGAGTCGAAAAGGTTTCTCGTCCAATTTAGGATGAAGGTACCGATACTGAGTATTTTAATATCGATACTAAACTTTGAGCATCGGTACTAACTTGCAGTATTGATACCAGAATAAGATACTAGAATTCGAGAAGTCCTAACAGTATAGATACTCTTGTTGGAGTATCGATACCACCCTAGGTATCGATACCAAAATTTGTTTGATGTTTAAAAAATTACTTTAGTATCGATACCATTACTTAGGGTATCGATACTCCCTTGAGTATTGGTACCAAAATAGGCTACTGAAATTTGAAGTCCTTAAGTGGTATCGATACCCCATCTTTGAGTATCAATACCCTTGGAATAATATCGATACTTCATGCACTAGTATCGATACTTTCAGCCAAAAACACATTATTTTAGGTCATATGAAGAACATTATCGACATTGTTTATCCAATATCGATAACCAAGCACGCTCACAAAAATAGGACTCAACTCTATACGTTTACCCTCTCAAGACCCTTAAACGTAGTTTAAGTCTTATGTAAGTTGTTAGGGGTCATAAAGAGTCGTTTTTCATGTTGTATAACATCATAAACCAAAATCTACCATGTACATGCTCATATGCTTCATAAACTAATGCAAGCTAACCAAGAACACTTAGAGACCCATAAGTGGTATAGAGAGGTTAGAAATATGTTACCTTACTACTAAGATACAGAAACACATCCTCCATTGACCAAGGATCGACTTCTATTTGCCTATTGCCTTGGAGCTAAGAACACTTTTCTAAGCTCAAATTTACCAAAAATGATCTAGAAACTTTTTAGTTTCCTAAACCTCAACTAAATCCCATATCTATGGCCATCATAACTAAACCTTGAGTTTAAGAGCTTGAATGAAAGCTTAGGGTGGGGAGATTATGATTCTTACCTTGGTATTTTCGTATTAGGCTTGTAAAGTTACAAAGTTCTCACCTTTTGTAATATCCTCGATACCGGGTTAGTGATCAAATTATGAGATTTTAAAATTCAGTGACCAATTTAGATAAATTAAAAAGTTTAAGGACTTAAATGAAATGTTTTGTGTAGGATGATTTAGCAAATGAATGAGGAATCAAGGGGCAAATGCATCTTTAAGCAAAATAATAATTAAATAATTGTTGTGGTTATTTTATAACCCACGTGGGACATTATTGAGGAAACAAAGGTTTCCAGATATCTCTTCAATCTTCTTCTTCTTCTCCAACGATGAAGCCTCATAGCTAAGGTAAGTT